CCCCCCTCAAGTCCAAGAAGTTCTCCTCCAGGAAAAAGGTCCGTTGGTATGAAGAAGTTAAGAATACCAACGAAGATCTCACCCCAATTGATGGCAAAGTTGCATCAGGTGAAGCTCCACCGACCTCCAACCAGGTCAAGCTTGTTCTGGCCAACTCCTCCGTCACTCAGGGGGTAGGGCTTATGCACTATGTGAAAGTTCTACATTGCTTGCTTGATTAGTTGCATGTTGCATTTGGCATTTCTCCTTACCCCATTTTTTATGGTGACAAAGGGGGAAGAGAAATCTCCTCATTTGTTGCATATATTTAGGGGGAGCTCATAGATAGGGGAGCACCTATCTACCTATCTATAAGCTATTTTATTTTTGCTCTTATATAATGGTTGGTTGTCATCATCAAAAAGGGGGAGATTGTTAGCCCTTATGTTTTGATGATGTTCTTACAACCACCATTATCGGTACTAATGGCTTATTGAGTATAAATATAGTAAATTCATTTGTCAAGCTCGTTAGTGCCATCAACGGAGGATGGATGGAATATATGCTACAACGAAGATAGAGCGCATTCACAAGCGCCGCGCATTATCAGCGCAGGCACGGGCTCAAGTCCAAGAGGCCCGTAGAAGACTGCAGAAGGAAGTAGCCAAGAAGCCGCCACCAACTCGTCAAGTATGGAGGCCGAAGTCTGAAGCGGCGATTCAGACTAAGGAACAATCATTGCGGCCTTCGATGCAAGTTCAACCTCCGGCGAACCAATCTAAATCGCCGATAATTCCAGTAGCTACTCCGAGAGATCCCGCGGAATCATCCCTAAGAAGGAGGTCAGTTTTGGAGCGCCTCGGTCCGCTTCCCGATGAGCAATGCAAAGCTCCAGTTCAAGAACGTTTGGGCCCGATGAAGAAGCCCCGAACGACTCAACATACTGGGGGTCGCCACCACCTTCAACATGACAAGGAGTTTATGGAAGCTACGCGTACCAATTTGCGCATTGAAGTCCAGGAGCCCGCTGAGAACTCACGCCCAAAAAGGCATGTCTCGAGGCACGTGACTCTTGAAAGCCCAAAGAAGGCAGTTCGCCCTCAAAAGGAAACGTTGTCATCTGATGATGACGACGTTATACCTAAGAAGTTGTGCCAACACACGATAGGTTACTCCGACCGTTGTAGGCATATAAAATTACTTATAGGTCCCCTAGCATAGCTCGGCACAAACCGACGAACCAACGAGGCGACGAGATCGACGAATCGCACGGAAGCGACGGAATGAATCCACCCGCGTGCAGAATCAAGCTAATGAGTTGAGGAATCAACGAGCCATCCAACCAAGGGGAAACTCGGACGAATCACGATCGAATCAAGATCAGTTTCGGACTCGAACTCAGAAGCGGATTTACTGCCAAATCAGGAATCCAAATTACTGCCAAATCAAACCATCAAATCAGAGTCTCAGGTCAACCGAAACACGGACAAACGAGACAACGGAAAACGACTCGAAAAAGTCGGAAAACACCGCCCGCGGGGGCTCGGCCAAAGCCGAGCCACCCCAAGGTGGCTCGGCCTCAGCTAGTGGATTTCTCCTCGAGAGTGGGGAGCGGGGACGTAGGCCAGAGGGCCGAACCTCGTTAACACATCGCGCGTCAAGGATAACGAACTCCTAACTCTATCTCTCTTTCTTTTATCGCATTACTGTTTTGTGGTTTGCTTGTACTGTTTTTTAATTGCATCTTAGAGCCTCTTGACCCTAATCACCCCCCCTCTAGGGTCCAACATGTACTACTAGAAAAATAATAATAATATATTTCTTATTGTCCATCACCCTTATCAACTCAAGACGTGGTATCATAACCACTCTTGCAAATCAATAATTGGTATCAGAGCAGGCAATCAGAGACGGGCTCTCTCCTACAGTGATCCTATCGACGTTACCGAAGTGCATGCTTAGTCTAGGACTGTGAAGTTAATTGGCCAGGGACCAGACTTGCGTGAAGATACTAAAACAGTACCACGTCATGATGGTGGATCTGTCAAGTACTATTACTACCCTCAAGAAACTCTACGGTAATAACTACAACTATATTACCTCGGGAAGCTCGTGGACATTAAAGCCGATAATGCTATGTATGTGCTGAAGCCGAAGTAGAAGAAGATCTCGTAGACTATATGTGAGATGTCAGAACTCCGAAGGAGGCATGGGATATGCTCACTACACTTTTCTCAAAGAAGAACGACGCTCGACTTTAGCTCTTTGAGAATCAACTGGTGACCTTACCACTGAAGAATCTGACTACCAGTCAGTACTTAAACCAAGTAAAATCACTCTATTTAGATATTGCTCAACTAGATCAATTTTTTAAAGTGTTCGATGTAAGGATGAGAAGAGTAATCATCCACAGCTCGAGATCAAAGTACCACGGGCTTGTTGCTGCTACACACAGCTGGCCGACTCAACCAACACTATTAAAGTTAGAGAGTTTCCTCACTACACAAGAGATCTGAGCCAAAACAAATGGCTAGCATTTCAATAAGAAGTGAAGGTGAGGTGTGGTTCAACAATAAGGAACGAAGCAAGTGGTATGCCAAGGCTGACTCAAATATGCAGCCAAGGAGTTCATACACCAGAAAAGCGCGTCAGAGTGAGGAGCAAAGGAACCTTTAGAGCTCGTGCACTCAGATGTATTCATCTGAGTGAAGCAAGACCGATAAGTGGCATGCAATACATGATTACTTCTATCGATGATTACTCGAGATATGTCTGAGTATATTTCCTAATGAAAAAGTCAAAAGCATTCTCCAAATTCAAGCAATTTCGAGAAGAAGTCAAAGGAGAACTCGGCAAGAAGATTCGTTGCCTACGCACAGACAACGGGGGAGAATACACATCAAAAGAGTTTTGTGACTACCTGAAACAACATAAGATTCGGGACAGCTAACATGTCCAAATGCTCTGCAGCAGAGTGGTGTTGCTGAAAGGAAGAATCTCCATCTTGGGGAGATATACTAAAGCATGCTTCATGTCAAGAATGCGCTGGGACATTTTTGGGCAGTGTGTATGAAGACTGCGGTGCACATGATCACTCAGCTACAACAACCAAAGCTGGAGTTCATGTCACCCTTTTAGAATCTGTGGAATATCAAACCAACAGTAAGCCATTTCAGAGTTTTCGATTGTGTGTGTTATGTCTTTGTGGCTGATCACTTACGCAACAAGTTTGACAAAAGACCATAAGGTGTATTTTTGTGGAGTATGACAACAAAAGAGTGGAGATGTTGTGATCCATAACCGGAGGATGCTACATATCAAGGAATGTAGTGTTTGACGAAGCCTTGTCTTGGTGGACTCCACAAGAAGTTGTGCTTCTAGAGTCCAATGATCCAAAGGATCGGTTACAAGAGAGGTTGGGGGAGCCAATCAATAAGAAAAATCACAACCGTCAAAGAAGACAGAACCAAGTTTATCCAACATCTCTGAAAGAAAGAATCCGTAGATGAATGGTGTTCATCCGATAACATTAGAATAGGAGCACCCCAATCAGATAGAATATATCAGTGAGGAACAAATAGGACAAATTCGAAGATCGGTCAGACCTAGAAAGCCAAATCTCAAATATGATAAATATGATAATGTCGCTGTAATTGAAGACGTGAAGAAGCCATCCGTGGATGATGAGTATAGATAAATTGTGAAAGAAGAAATCCAAGCATTCACGAAGAATTTAGAATTTTGTTTGGACTCATAGATAGAGAAGCCGCTGCAGAGGGAGAGGGTTAAAGTTAGCAGCCACCAATCAACACTATAGTCACGACCCACCAACAAGTATTTTGTAGCAACACTGCAGCGACCTAACTTTCACAGTGTACACCTACCACATCATCGCCCATAAATAACCTCCCAAAGCCTTCGGTGGATATCATCCCAAATAGCAAGAAAAGGGGAGAGACGGAGGGGAAGAGAGAGAGAAGGAGAAGAAAAATAAATAGTGAGTGGTTGTAAAAGAGTGTAGTAATGTAGTAGAGAGTGTGTTTGTACTTGAGAGAGTCTAAATGGTTGTACTACTAGAGAAATATTAATAATATATTTAAAAAATCTCAGGTGGGCCCCCTGCACTGTAGCAGGAGAGGGGGTGTGGTGGAGAATGTGTCTGTAGTGTTATTCATATTTTTTAGTGTCCACAACTCTTCTTAACTCAACCTCTTACTGTTTTTTTTTTTTTTGCAAACTTACTACTATTTTGAGACTTCTCCCTACCATGTGCATCAGAGGGTCTTATTTGATACATTCTAAATGTTTTATCGTCACTCTTTCTTTCATTAACTATGTTATTGTCAACATTACTTGTCTAAAGTTCAAGGTTTGAACCCCAAGTTTAGAAGGTTTTTGTTAACTTATCCTTCTATTTTTGACAGTAAAGCGTATTGTCAATCAAGTTTCAATCAGCTAGCTAGACTCTGCAATTGCGGATAGACTATATAATATAACCCAGTTGCAGATAAACCCATTATAGTTTTACTGTCGCAGATAGACCCTCGGATAGACTATATAATATAACCCAGTTGCAGATAAACCCATTATAGTTTTACTGTCGCAGATAGACCCTTGAGTGAATTCTTACAACTCTTTTATCCGCAGATAAACCCATTATAGTTTTACTGTCGCAGATAGACCCTTGAGTGAATTCTTACAACTCTTTTATCCATTGAAAAACAGAAATTTATTATTTAACAGATAGACCTTCTCAAGGGTAAAAGAGTAACAACTATTCACAATCTTATCTGTCACAATAAAGAAAGAACAAGGGGTATCCCCCGGGGAGGGGGAAAATTCCCATTCCAAGCTTTTGCTTAATTATCCATCGTTAACTCATGCACTATAATATCATGTTACCAAAATGCCACAACATTAGCATCATCACTTGCCAGCGCCTAATCAAATACATGCCTTCAGTTCAGAGGGAACAAGATCCAACCATCTATTCATTTTTGGAGTCCAACTGAATATCACAATAGATGAAACAAAACAACTCTCGTGTGAAGACAAAACATAGGTACCTACAAAGTATTCAACAGGCACACATCACCTTGGCAGGTGTACAATAATGAATAAGTAGACAGCTGCATATCAAATACTTAACTCCTCCGAAATATAGATAACCAAAATTTTTTTATCCACTCAAACATAAAAACTCATTTAACATTTTTTTTTCATAAATAATGCACACCATCAATACTTCTCTGCTAATCTTGCGGACACAGCTCTGAGCTTGGAATAGACCTTGCCTGCAGGAGATCCTAAAATGAGACTACAAAGTGAATCTCTAGCAACCTTTATGTTCAAAAAGGAACCCAGAATATGAATTTTGGAATCAGCTATAACTATACGAGTACGAGTAGAATTTTCAATGGCAAATTTTGTTTTGCCCCCTTTTCCCGAAAGCCTGCCAATTGCACGAGAAAGGTGCTCCCCTCGAAGTGTCTTGACATCCTTGATCTCGAAAGAGTCTACGTAGAGATCATCAAGTCGGAGAAGGGCCACGGCATCTGCGACATCAAATCCTAGCATGAAGGCGTGGACAAAATCCGCACATTTCTGAAGGTTTGAGACGTCTGGGGTGTCTTTTTGAGTTTTTAGCTCTACTTTCCTGGCCTGTAACAGAAAAGTAAGCTTTATAGCTGTCCAATAAGTAGTTAAAAGTAACTTATTCGCACAAAAAAGGAGATGAATGAGAAAAATATGTACTTAAAGAGTCACGCCTAGAACGGTCAGGACAATAGTTACGATACTGCTTAATCGAAGGACAGTATGTTACAGGAAGAGTGTTCTACATAACTGGTCATGGACAGACAGTATGTTATATAGGAAATTTATAGAAAATGGCTTCTGATGTTACAGGAAACTATTAATAGAAGACTACTAACAGGACAGTGTCTCCACTACCCATATGCCACTATCAAAACTGGAACTGAGAGAGGGGCAGCTACGGGCTAAATGGATTGAGTCAAATGCCCATGGTGCTACACCGCTACTATCAAAACTGGAACCGAGAGTCCGAGAGGGTCAGCTATGAACTAAATGGATTGAGTCAAATCAATCCACATGAAACTCTGGCTTGAAAGTAGAAGATGAAGCAGAAGTGTCAAATGTCAGCAAACAATACTTAATCCCCTTCTCTAATTCTTCCTTGGATTTTCCTCTACTTCTCCATCTTTTCTTCTATTATAATTCCTTCATCGACTTACGTTTTTCCCTTCAGAGGAATCCAAGAGGTTTATTATGTACAACTAAATGAGCTTAAACTACATAACTAAAAGAACTACCAGCCAGCTGGAGCTAAGTACATAACTAAACAAATCTACCAGCTATCTGACTGGACATCTAGATCACGATGAGGCCCTCAATTTGCTTATCGGACTTGACCAGAGTCATTGAGAGCAGATTGCACGAAACTCGTTGCTTCCTTTGTGGGACTCAGCAGAACCTTGTCCGTACCCATAGTTTTTACGGGAAAACACATTTAGATGAAGATAACAATGACAACACAGACTATAATTTGCACATACACGACATTGGCGGTAAAAACATTGTACATGTTAAAATTGATAGACATAAAAGTTACTTTTGCGTTTCTAAATGTTAAGCTAGACTCATTATCAGCCATATTAACATCTGCATAGACTAAAGCTAAATAAAGATTATGTTTACATCTTGAAACAGAGTTTCCCAACAAAATAATCCTGAGGACCAAAAAGTGAACTGGTATTTCCACAAACCCTACACTCTCCTATTGTATTTGCCTTAAGAGATTGCAGATCACCACCGTCTTAAGCTCCACGTCCTTTTCACTTTAGCTACAAACAGGAAAATATCTGTTGAAACCCTTAAAACATAAAGTATCTTTTTAGTGAACTATCTCAGGGTGCTTGGGGAGCTTAGTTTTAGAAGAGTTTAAGCTATGTTAGCTTTTGATGGCTTTTCACTTTCATGACAAAACTTCATAAATATCGTATGGTCAAAATAGTTCATTTGCTTGCTCAAACCTAAACCTAACTTACCTAGCTTATTTAGGTGAGCTTATAAACTAACTTCTTATAATGTAGGAAAGCCTAACTTTTTAAAATGAGACAATGCATAATGGCTACTTATTACAGATGTTAGCAAACAAGCAAATATGGAAAAACTAGCTTAAAAGCTAGTTTAACTGGAAAAAAGCGCCCCAAACACTCTCTAGCCATTGCTATAATAACTATAATTCAATCATTATGGCATCCACAACAGTTGCCCAAGACTCCATAACAATATTTATCAACTATCCATGGTTTATCCTCACCAAGAACAACCTACCTTCTTACAAAATGCACTAATTTCTTATGCCATCTCATGCATAATTCTATTTATCCTCAATAAGAACAACCCAACTTCTAGTCATATCTCACTCAACCTCATCATCGTGATGAATGATTGGCCTTAAATCACAAAATAACCACTCTGAAGCATTCCTTGACCATTGACCCACTCAATATGTTTTCTCAACTTTGCTAACGTTACATTCTAGACACCATACCCTTTAGGGCATGTTTGGATTTGGGTTAATGTTGGGTATGGAAAGGTAGGGGACACACTAATAAGAATTGATTTGAGGTAGATAATGGGAGGGAAGTTAAGACTAAGAGGAAATTTTGAGATTTTGTTTCCCCAAATTCGGATGTAATAGAGGGGTATAATGGAGGGGAAGGGAAGTCTTATAAAGACGATTAATCTTGTAAATTTACATATATTTCCTTACCTTCCCTTCACTTCATTAAACTTCAGTTTGGGAAAACGAGTTCCTCTTGATCCCGTTACTAAATTCCCAAACAAGTTATGCACACTTTAACTTTTCACCATTTGATGTTAGAAACAATTCATCATTTGATGTTAGAAACAATTTTACCATTTGATGTTAGAAACAATATCAACTTAAACTTATCCTATGTTCACCTAACTTTCCTTTGCGAGGGGCAAATCCAAGCCCAAAAAGGTCCTTACTCTAGATCATCTTTTGATGTTAGAAACAATTCATCATTTTGGTATTAGCAAATAGCTTTCCATCCAATTACATCAACAAATACTAGTTATATGTTCGTTTAAAGAATAAAATTTTAAAAACCCTAACCCTAGACAAGAGAAGAAATCAAACCTTGAGATTCATCCTGATATCGATCTTCATATGCTCGTAGACCGGAGTGTAGATCTCCATCCAGTTCTTCTTCAGCGGGGAGAATCTGTGAGCGGGGACCACAACCTTGCGGAATTGGGGCTTGCCATCGGTCATCTCGTGGGCCTTCAACGCCTCGAACTGAGGGCGAGGAGGAAGACGGCCCTCTGTCTCCATGGCCGCCGCCGTCGGAGCTCCTTCGGTCGATGCTGCCGCCATGGTCGTGATGGAGCGAGAGAGAGCAGAGTCGTACCTAGGAATTTTGGGGCCCAAGACGAAATATTAGATGAGACCTAAATGATACAACTCATAATATATTTTATCTCATTCTTCTTACCTTTTGAGCTGCAAAATTACTAATTAAAGTTTTATATTCAATATTTTCTAACACATTATTTTCGATAGATAATATTGCTAAACTATTCACTCTTGTAACATGGTCGATCTTAAATAAGATTTTAGTAATTTTAATTTTGAAAAACTTCTTTTAGCGGAAGCAACTGTTACGGGTATAGTCAATAATATATTTTATCTCATTCTTCTTACCTTTTGAGCTGCAAAATTACTAATTAAAGTTCTATATTCAAAATTTTCTAACACATTATTTTCGATAGATAATATTGCTAAACTATTCAATCTTGTAACATGGTCGATCTTAAATAAGATTTTAGTAATTTTAATTTTGAAAAACTTCTTTCAGCGGAAACAACTGTTACGGGTATAGTCAATAATACACGATAAGCAATACAAGTATTTGGAAAAGAATCTAACCGTTTTATATAGTTCAACACTTCAATTGGACTATTAATCTCTACTTTTAAAATTTCCCTAAGCACCGTCAATTCTGAAAACAAATCAAGTCCATTAATATCTAAATGTTCATCATGTTTTAGTACATTTTCAAGATTAAAACAATATTCTTTCAATTCAATATCATCTAAAGCTTTTAATTTTTTTGAAATCAAACAAAAAACCAAAAAAAAATTCATATGTTTTAAATTGTTCAAACCTACTTTCAATTGAGCCAACTGATTTATCAACTATGTATAAGAAATATTTAATACGAAAAGATTCTTCAGCGTAAAATATTGTTTCATTACCAATATTTTCATCAAATTGTTTTTTTTTCTATTGAATGGGATTACCAAAATCAATAAAGATGATCTTGTAAGAATGGGCATGCATCAAATACAGATAACAAAAAAGATTATTTCGAAAACTCTATTGAGTCACTAGACATTTCACCCCCTTCCAATTTAAAGATCCCAATTGAACTATCTTCAATAGAACAGGAAATGGTCGTGCACTTACTAATAAATTGGATGATCAGACCAACATTAGGAGCTCATAATAAATTAACCACAGCCTCTCTGAGTAGGGGTGAGCATTCGGTCGGTCGGGTTTCGACCAACTATTTGACAACCGAATGGCACCGACACTCTACAGAAAACCGAGTCGGTTTACACAGGATAAGTTCATACCTGAGGATTCAGGGGTCGAAAGCTGCTCGAATCGATGAGAGGCGACGAGATCTCAGCGTCAGCGGCCTCGAGCTCGGCGACGACGACGACGACGACGACGAGCGACGGCCTCGAGCTGGACAGGGATTCACCTCTATTTGTTGGAGATTAGGGTTTGAAGGGATGGTTGTTTGAGGGGGAGAGAGGGGATGGGAGAAGGGGAGGAGCCGAGGAGGTGAGGGGTGGAGACTGGTGAGGGTGGAGATTAGGGTTTAGGAGTTGTGAATGAGGGATTTCATTTTATAGAGTCGGAGTCGGGTAATGGCCAATGGGTACGGGTAGCGGTGAATTACAGTTATATATAACGTAGTTATAAGTGTACTTATATCATATGTCATATGTGTATATTATAATAGAATTACAATTATAATAGAATTCTAGTATATCGTATATAATAGAATTACAGTATAATAATATTTAAGTATCTAGTATTTATAAAAGTAAATCATATAAGTAAATTATATAATTGTACTTAAATAAGCATAATGTAAGTATATAACAAATACATACATAACTACATAAGTGATATATATATACTTATGTTATAACTTATAAATATATACAATATATTTGCATATAATGTATGTATATATAATATATAGTTACACAATATATGTACAAATAAATACATAATTATATAAATATAATAAGCTTATATAGTTACATAATTAATTATTAGCATTTTTTTATCAAAAAAAAAAGAAAAGAGGAAAAAGAGAAAAAGCCGGACCAGGTCAGGCCCGGCCCCGGCCCCGGCCCCCAGACCGGGCCCGGGCCACCAGAGCTC